AAAGAAGAAAAAACAAAGCATGAAAAAAGCGAACAGATGAACTAAGAAACGACGAGGACCTTTTGCTGTAGATGTACGAAAATTTACAGCCTTGCTCGCCGAGAACGTCACCCTTCGAGGACACCGCCTGCGAAGCCGCTTCCACTAAGCTCGGTTCCAGCAAAGGACACGGGTCACGGAGGGGAAAAAGCTCCACCTTCTCTACACAGGGAGTTTCGGGTGCAATAAAAACAGGTGAGTGAAAGAGTTCTGACTTTTCCACTGTCTTTCTTGGGGGAAAAAAAAAAAGGCTTTCTTGCTTCAAAATTCTATTTTAAGGAAGAACCACTCTAAAGCCAGGGTGGGCAGACAAAACGAGTCGGGCAAAACCTGACTTTTTTTTTTGCCTCTTTTTTTGGAAATTCAAATCCAAAGTTTTCTCTGGTGTCTCTTCACTCGATAAAGCCAGTCGTTCACCTGCTACCAAGATCCCAAAGAGGAATGAAGAAATGCACGTTCGTCACTTGCTAAGTGGGTTGGAACAGGTCCCTCTCGGGAGGTGACAACGAGGAGCTGAAGCTCTCTCCAGCCTCTGACTAACTTTGCACGGATACCCAGGAGGGCCCTGGGAGGCCTGGTTTTTTTCCTCCCCGGTTTTCTCGCGTGGGCCTACGTCGCACGCGAAGACGGAACAGGTTGCACGGGAATTTTAAGGTCTGGAGGATTAAAAAACAGGAACGTATTCACTGAAAATAAAGCAGTCAACACCTGTAGTATTGTTTTTGGTTTTCTGTTTGTGTTTTGAGTAACCGGCTAGGGAATGGCCAAGTCTCCGTGTTCGGGGCGGGGGTTGATAGCAGCTGCCCCCCAGCATCGTTGGGCGCAGTGGGACGGGTCACCGAGCTGTGCGCGTCACAGAAATTGTTTCACTTAATTATCGTGATAACCTTACAAAGGACTATTATTACTCCTGTGTTGGAGATGAGGAAGCCGAGACAAAGAAGGACAGAAGGTTGCCTGGTTTTCAAGGTGAGTAAGCAGCAGAACTGGAATCTGAGCTTGTGAGGTTAGGTTTATGAATGGCGTGTTGCTTTTAGAGTTTATGTGAGTATTTGTTAGATCTCTCCCTGCATCAGACATCAACTTCTCAGCATATTAAAAGAATATGTAAAAGACTGAAATATAAACAGTGTTATAGTATTTGCTTTTATTTACTTATTTATCTATTTTGAGACGGGGTCTCACTCTGTTGCCCAGGCTGGAGTGCAGTGGCACGATCATAGCTCACTGTGACCTTCAACTTCTGGACTCAACCCATCCTCCCCCCTCAGCCTCCCAAGTAGCGGGGACTACAGGTGTGAGCCACCACACCTAGCTAACTTTAAAATTTTTTTTGTAGAGACGGGGTCTCACTCTGTTGCCCAGGCTGGCCTCGAACTCCTGGCCTCAAGCGATCCTCCTGCCTCCGCCTCCCAAAGTGCTGGGACGACCATGGCCAGTATTTGCTTTGAGTACTTTCTCTCCCCTCCCACCAGTTACTTCTCGTTCCTTCTCTCTTGAGTCTTAACTTAGAAGGGAAGAACAGAATAGTGAAGAAAAGAGGCTGGCTGAATTAATGATTTGCATTTTCACCGTCTGGAAAGAGCTTGCTGCTACAACGCTTCTCGGTGCTGTCTGACACACACGAACAATTCCTTTCAGGCCCTGAGATTGTTTCATATAAGCAAAATTTTCAAGACATCCCTGTCATTTTCAAGAGCTGAGAAGGACCGGAACAGATTATCTGTCGACTCCCGATACCAGGGAAGTCCTGAGAGCCTCCTCTCATCGGTGACCAGGACGGGCCCAGAACCAGGGTCCTCCAAGGCCCACCCTGACCTGCGGCTCCCGGAGACTGGTCCCGGACTACACCCTGAGCGGCCTGTCTCTGGCTGACACGCGAACCCCGGATCTGAGCGGGTTCTCCACGGGGAACAGCATTCGTCTTTGCATGGAAAGGAAACGAGGGAAGGACGCTCGTTGGGAGAACGTCCGAGTGTCTGATGCAAGTGTGTGGCGTAGCAGGAAACACGGAACGAGAGACCAGCACAGACTGTGGCCAAGCATTTAGCCCTTACAGGATTCTCCAACTGCTGCAGAACCCTGTCGTGTTCAAGCTCACCACCGTGTAAACGTTTGCCAGTTCGCAATAAAGGCCACAGACGTTCTCATCTGCATTTACTTCCAGTGACCTTTCTTCGCCCATCGCCCAGATAAGTGCTTCCGGCAAAACAGCTCCAGGGTTCGTTATACCCTGGCTGGGCTGCATCTCTGATTTCTAGAGAGTTCCGTGAATGACAGATGTTTTGAATTCAAGGGAGAACAGTTACAGGCTGCAATGCTTGGGTGGTTCTGTGATCATAAATATTTTTTTTCTTTTTTGAGACAGAGTCTGGCTCTGTCGCCCGGGCTAGAGTGCCGTGGCGTCAGCCTCGCTCACAGCAACCTCCAACTCCTCGGCTCAAGCGATCCTCCTGCCTCAGCCTCCCGAGTAGTAGCTGGGGCTACAGGCATGCGCCACCATGGCCGGCTAATTTTTCTCATTTTCTGTAGAGGTAGGGTCTCACTATGTTGCCCAGGCTGGACTTGAAGTCCTAGCCTCCAGCGATCCTTCCATCCTGGCCTCCATTTCCACTTTTTTTTTTTTTTTGAGACAGAGTCTGGCTCTGTCGCCTGGGCTACAGTGCCGTGGCGTCAGCCTCGCTCACAGCAACCTCCAACTCCTCGGCTCAAGCGATCCTCCTGCCTCAGCCTCCCGAGTAGCTGGCACTACAGGCATGCGCCACCACGCCCAGCTAATTTTTTCTATATATTTTTAGTTGTCCAGCTAATTTCTTTCTA